ATGTAGGGGTGTTATGCAGCTGTGTTCTGTGAGCTCTTGTTAGGGCTGTGGAATGGATCCAGGCAGGATGGCCTCGAATTAAGATGCTGAAGACTCTTCCATTTAGAAAACACACTCCTGCCGGTAACGCTGTCTTGTCATGTATGATTTCTGAATTTACAGGTGAAAGTGAAAAAACTCATTTCCTTTTCAATTGTACAAATGGTTGCCTCTGTGTTTGCATGTGTATATCTGCTAAGGAACAAATGCATAGTGCCTACAGAAAGCAAGGGCAGAACAATTTCAAGAACTGAGAGTTTCCTGAATCATCTATGGCAGAAGGCAATTAAGTGCCCAATTTTGACAAGGTTAAGGTTGCTAAACTCAAATCCTGAGAAGGGGTCCTGCAAGACTTTGTGAGTTTCAGATGTACTTTTAAATGTTGTTCTTTGGGGTTTAAATATCTTATTTACAAATGAACAAATAGTGATTGATCTTGATGACAGAAATTTAACCAAGACTCAAGTTGATAAGGACTTCTGGCTTGTAACCATCATTTGGGCAGTGTCTGAGCCTTGGTAAGAGATGTAAGTAGTTTTGATGCTGGTGGTGATGATGTGGGATGGTTACAGACACAGCACATGTTTTTTTTTCACTCTTGTTTTCCTATCACTTTGACAGAAATAACACTAAGTAAATGCTTTCAGCCCTCTCTGGCATGCAATTTTTCATCCAAGCAAAACATAATGTTCCTAAGATCTAAAGGAAATTTAATAATCTTTGCATTCTTGTGATTTGTTAGACCTTTCCCACAAACACCTACAGAAACTATATAATGTTTGCCTGGAGATTTAAGGTAACAGGCTTACACTCACAGCAAGATGAATTTTTTATTAGATGTTAGGCAGACACATGGTGCTGATGTTGGAAAGTGTTGCCAAGAGAGTGTTTGTAGAATATCCTTCTATGGGTAGTTTAAAGATCTATTTAAACACCTACAGCTACTTGTGAAAGTTTCAGAATAAATCTGTTGGAGGCTGGGGAAACAACTATATGAACTGGTAAGTTCCATCAACTCCCAATTCCAAAATAATGTATCCATTTGTTTAAAGTGCACTAAGATGATACCTTTAAGGAGCAAGAGTGGTAATGATTGGTAATAACTATCATAGGTTTGGCAGTAACATTTTCAGACCCTCTATACATATTTGTGAAGCTCTGTTGCTCTTGGAGGCAACTATTAGTTTAAATGCCCACTTTTCTTCAGAAAAGGAACATAGGAGCTTGTATTTTTGATAAAACTAAAATAAGAACCTTAAAGTTCAACCAGGTGAAGTTCCAGCTGACTAAGAGTTTTAGTATTTAGCTTGGTTAATTAAATCCCATTCTTCGCCCTGAATTTAATTATCCCAACCAGTAAGGTAATTTAATATAATAATAAAAAAGGAGATAATGAGAAATGGAAGAGAATCTGACTATTCCTTTCTCTATCTCAGTGGGGGCATTTCTTCTTCAAGTGTCAGTTTATGGATGGTGATGTTTTATGGGGTATATTTCAATTAGTGAGAAAATGAAAGATAGACAGTAGATCATCAATGAGTGATTGCATTAGGAAATCACTAAAAAGCTCATCTGTAAAGTTCAGGGCATATTTTAATATGACTTCATGATACCTTAGGCAGTTTATTCCCCCTAGGTTAGCTTAAATCATGTTCATGTTCTTTATGTTCTTTATTCATATATACATGGATAAGGTCTTGTTTAGGGTTTCTATTCAAAGGTAAGAAAGTCATATATTTGCCACTTCTATGCAAAAGTGAGTGTTAATAAAAAGGTGACCTTTCTTGTTTACTTGTCACTTCTGATACACAGGGTCAGTTTCTTAATATTGCTCAAGCTTTGCCATCTCAGAGCTGAGGTGCTATGGGTAGAATCAGACTTGGATTCAAATCACAGCTGGAAACATGCTAGCTGTTTCAAGTTAATCTCATCAAGCCTCAGTCCTGTCATCTGTGAAAAGAGAAGAGTGCTCTCTACGTCTCACAGATTGATAAGGACAAAGTGAGAGAACGTAGAGGACCCCCCACAACCTGTCTGACACGTAGTAGATGCTCTGCAAATACAGCCTCCTTCTCTTCCGAACAAGTCACAACTATGCTATGAAAAACAGACACTAATATAATAACAAACATAATGCCAAATGTGCCAGCTTGTTATCAACCAGGGCAATGTCCCTCACACTTTCAAGTACCAGTGAGTCACCTGGGGCTTGGGTTAAATATAGCTTTGAATTCAGCCTGAGATTCTGCATTTTAACAAGCTCCCAAGATACTGATACCTCTAGTTGGAGAACACACTTTCAGTGCTATGGAACTAGGGCAATCACTTTTGAATACTGAGTTGACTTTGAGAGACTGGGCTAAGGTGCAAAACCGAATTTTACTCTTCCTTTGTTTAATGATAAAAATACTGGGGCAATAGGAAGGTGCTACAGAAAAAAAGTTTAAATGAACACATTTAAAAATCGGGGAAGCTCAAATCCATTCTACACACTTTCATTTATTGTCTGGACAGATAAAGTACAAATAATTCAAACACAACGAGATTATGGAAAAAAAAACATTTACAATTCTTTCCCTCAGAATTCATCTAAGCTAGCAAGATTAACATGAAGTTCATTCATTATAACTAAAGTATACAACTGCCTGGTCCTAAGATTTTTTTTCCTTTTTTTTTCCCCCAAGAGTGAACACATTATAGAGAAGAGATTTTGGCATGCTTTTCCCACTAATGCTTAGCAAATGCATCAAAACTTTGCCAGCAAACTGCGTTCATTCATAGCAGGTGATGTAAAAAGGTTTTTCCCTGAATGTTGAATGAGTGTTCTCTGAACTGAAATCTGGTGTTTTTTTTTTTTTCCAAAACGAAAAAGAGGAAAAAAACCAGAAAAAAAATGTAAAGGAGGAGTCTATGATGCAGCCTTGGTCTCCGTCACCTGTCTACCACGACGACGACGACTACTACAAAGTATGCGTCTTCAGTGTGAAAACAACAGTTCTGTCTACATGCACTTAGTGGGCTCAGCATGGGAAAAAACGCACAAAATAAGCACAAGTTATAAATAACCATAACGTTTTATTACCATTAAGACTAAACTTGTATTGAAAAGATTTTATATAACAAGACAAGAAAAGCAATAGCAAATTTAACTATCAACTAGATTATGCATAGCGAGTAACTGTTTCTATTACCCAGGGAAGAGCATGAACCCTTGTATTTTTTTTGTTTTGTTTTTGTTTTAAATATATAACCGTACAAAGCACAAACATACTAAAAGGATCAGTGCACTGGACGTGGGAGAATGCTCCCTCAGTCATTTTGTTCCCTTAGCTCTGTTTTGTTTTCCCCAATCTGAAGTACATTAAAATAAAGACCCAGTTGTTTTTATTTTTCTACTGTGCAGTAAGAAAAAATATTCACAACAAACATGACAATATATCAAACAATAGTTCTACACAAGTTACCTTGATACCTCTTTAACTGTCACTTAAATATCATAAGAAAACATTTTAAGACATATACAAACAAAACTAGCCAAGTGTTACAACTTATAATAAATTAACCCAAAGAAAAAATAACTTTATATATATATATTTATATTGTATATACACATACACACACAACAGAATGACACAATAATATGCTTCTTCCCATAGTTTAAGTAAACAAATAAGTAGTCTAGCCAATCTAGCTATATTTGATCTCGGCCATAGGCATCATCACATCGGCGATTAAATAAATAAGTGTTTCAAGCAACATAAACAGTGTTTCAAATGTACCAACACAGCCCAATTCTATCAGCATGGGCTACAAAGTGAATTTGAAAATTCCTCAATGAATTTAAAGCAAATGTATCTTTTGTTTTTCTCTCCTAAACACATTACATTTAACTATGGTACTAAGATATGTAAATAATTTGTAGCACCTACTGCTCAAACTAAGGAAGTTTTAGATCAGAAGGAAAATTAATCTTTTGACTTTTTGTTCTGCTGACATCCCATACTGATGACTTAAAGAAAAACTGTCTTTCAACTCATCTCCTTGCTTTTGGGTTTTGACTGTGGGGAACTGTGGTACCCTGGGTAGAACGAACACTCCTTTCCCCTAGTAATTAATAATTGTTTTTTATTATTATTACATGCTATGAAAAGATATGAAGATCATCTGTTTATAGCCCATCCTTCAAAAAACAGCCTACGAATCCAGTTTAAAACACACATCTTGATCTCTAAAAAGTTACCAGTGCAGTATGAACGTGACAAAGTTGTCAATTTCCCCTAAATTAGCCAGTCAAAATATTTTTTTCTCAAATCCAGATTCTCTTGTAAAAATTCTTTATATTTTATAAAAATAGATTTTTCTTGAAACCCATTTTCAGCAAAGAGACCACCTCTTTGGCAACAATGTTAATGATATTAAATTGTTAATGTCATCAGGTATCCCCCTTGCCCCCATCCCCTAACAGAAGACTGTTTTTAGTTCACATGATATAAAAGAAAAAAGGAAAAATAAAAAAATTTGCAAAAGTTTTTTTCATTTTTGCAATTTTTATTATTCCTCTTTAATTTGTGTGGGTTTTTTTTTTTTTTACCAATCTGATTGGATCAACATTTTGACAAAAAAGAAAAATCTTTTTTTTCTTTCTTTGAATCCCATTACTTTGTAAAAATTGTTTTATTTTTATTATTATTTTTTTTTTGTTTTTTGTTTTTCTTCTTCAAATGAGCGAATGGTCATCTTAAAAAGACCCACCTTCAAGGAAGGTAGTAAAGTTAGCTGGCTGGGTTAAAATCCCTGCACATCGCTATCTATGTATATTATATTCAACAACGACAGCTATGAAAGAACATTCAATGCATCAAAGGTATTTTTTTGTGTTTTTTTTCTTTTTTTCTAAGCATTATAAAATCCTTTCCTGGTACACCTCAGGATAATCCAATGTTTTAATACTTAGGCAACACTGGCTTATAAAGTCCGTGGTTGAATATAAGCCTTGAAAAGTTTGTTTCTCTCTCTTGTGTGTGTGTGCATGTGTGCGTGTGTGTGCGTGTGTGTTTTGTTCGTATATATTTATATATATATTTTAATACGTAAGGATGGGAAATTCAGGACTTGTGAGCTTTGTTGGTTTTAAAAGAAACTTGCAACACTCGGTCTCCCAGGCGGTACCCGTTGAGGCTGGCGATGGCCATGGCCGCCTCGTCATAGTTGGTCATGGTAACGAAGCCGAATCCCTTGCACTTGTTGGTGTTGAAGTCGCGGATGACCTTGACGTTGTTCACTGCGCCAAAGGGGCCAAAGAGCTGCCAGAGGACGCTCTCATCGGAATCGGGGGACAGGTTGTAGACAAAGATACACCAGCCTGTTCCTGTGTGACCAGGGATGTTCATTCCCACAAGGCTTGTCATCCCATCAATGGTGATTGGGGAGAACCTGGAGGAATATGCAGAAGGGGGGACTGGTCCAGACATCAGTCTGACCGTGGATAACACACAGATGCACAGACACAGACATAGGGCAGAGGGCTGAGTGAGTGTTTGCAGGGCAGTCTTCTGGGTTTAAAAACCAAAATGCAAAAAACTAGTATTTGTGGCATTTCTTCTGATGGGAATGGATAGACTTGCCTAAGGCACACAGATGCCAAGAGAAAGCTCTAGGCCAATTCTTAAAACCCACAAGAAACTGGCGGAGTGAGGCTCTGTCACAGTCCTATCACGTATGTTCCCTGGGTATCCCACCTGGTCCTTATCCTCCCTCCCCATAATAGACAGTGAGCTCTTTGGGAAGGGGCTCTATTTCATTTATTCTGTTGCTCTACTTTTTATTCAGTGGTGCACATATGTCTCACAGATATAGTGACACATAAAAAAACACTCAATTGTTTATTGATTGAATAAGTGAATCACATTGGTGGATGTCAAAGCTTGGGCAGTTTTATTTATTTTTTAAGGCAGATTAGGGGACGGTCCTAGTAGTCTCAAGTCTACCATCTTTGCAGTCCCTTGACTTGTGGTTGTCAAAGATCTCTTGTAATTGAAGATGGAGAAACATGAGAATGGACAGACATGTCTTGCTATTAATCAGATGGATAGCTCATGTTTTAGTTAGCATTTATTCAAGAATTAAAAAAAACTCAGGCCATAACAATAAAGATGTATCACTCATTGAAGCTATATTATTATTTCTAAGAGTCACAGGACTGAGATTTTGAGTGGTTTGTGCATTTATGTATCTTGAATCACTGTACATTAGAAAAGCAGAAAACTGTTATTTGCTGTATTACAACTACTATTGTATAAGCCCTTCAAAATCTTCTTAGTTTTCATATGATATTGGAAGGAAAAACAACCTTTCATATTCTATTCAGTCTGATAAAATATATCCATGTGTGATTTACAACGGATGCATCAGATGAAATAATTAGGTTACCAGTGCCTATGGCAGGAAAATATGGGTTAACGTTTGTTTTATACCAAACTTATGTAGGCATTTGACCCTACACATTAACTAGTATTTTGCTTTTCATTTGGTTTGTTTAGTTGCTTGTTTCCTGAAGAGGGGAATAGGAGAAGAGAAAAACAGAGAAGAGGACGGCTAAAGTGTCATCTAGGACTGTTTCAAAAATAAGCAAATACTCTTGGAGATTTGAAAGTCCTATGAAAGAATTGTTGTGTATCTAACTAGAATTTAGATAATCAAATGGCTGCTCAAGATATGCTAAACATAACAATTTAGTAGAATTATTTTTGGTATTATTCACTAAGTTAGTCTTTCCTCTTGCTTAAGAACAAGTAAGACAGAACCAAAAAATACCGTGGTATGGATTCAGAGAAGGGCAAAGCTATGTCGGTCTTTTGTATTATTTCTGAAGACTGTCTTCTTAACCTTCTCTCCTCCAACTGAGTGAACTGACTACTTTGAGTTTATAGGCAGAGAACAGCTAAGCATTTCTTATAAGGCCAAAGTCAAGGCCAGCAAAGAGGTTTCAAGTAAGAGCTTCAATTCTAGTTGGTAATGGCTGCCTGGAGCCCTGTGGTAGGAGGGATTCTGGATCCCAATCTGAGTTTAATAGGAAAAGAGAATGCTCTTAGTGACTAGTGATGTTGACCATGGGTGGGGAACCGGAGGGCACAGCAACAACTCCGCTGCAGCTGAGCCTTCCCTGGCCTCACCTGTATGTAAGCATCACTGTTTTTAGAATATTTGTTGCTACCTCATTAAAGTTAGAGAGGAGCAAAGGTATTGGACAGATTTGGGGAAAATGTAAACTGTGTGGGAACAGGCAAGCAGTGTGCTAGACATGTAGAGATACTTCAGTCATCCTCACTAGGGCTGGGATTGAGATTTGGGAGGCTGGCGCTCTGATAGTGAAGTTGCAGTCAAGTTACTTCACGGTGTTCCAGTTTTCAGAGTCAGGGTACTTACCATGCACGACCAAATGGTGAAAGAACTGCCTCATACAGGCAGTGTGACTCGGACTGTTAAAGACCACATCTCTTTCCCTTCACTGTAGGAAGGGGAATTAAAGTGTGCAGCTCCACTGAGCAGGATGATGAAGATGCTATGTCCCTAGCAGCTCACTGGAGCTTATCAAAAGCACATTTGGGAATCTCATGGATACTGTGGCTTAACACACTGAACTTATCGAGATTCAGCTTTCAGACTAGGTCTGGAACACCTTTGTGACTGCATTCAGAGAGCCCCCAAAACCTTGACTTTGTGCCCCTATCCCCATTAAAGGTCTTGAAATGAAAGAAACAGTAAGTTTAAAACATACATACATATATAACAAAGGAGGATTTATAATAACTGTTAAAAACCTGTAACAAAAGAAACCCCTGGTTGAGGTGCACACAGATACACTTCATTCTCAGGATGTGCCCTGGAATGTACACTGAGGTGGGAGTGGGAGTCAGAAGGTCATCCACAGGTTTATTCATGCTTTGGCCAGGGCTAGTAGTCCAAAAATCTAATTTTTCAACTGACAATCATAAGATTGTCAACCATGATTAGCAAAATGTTCTCATTTTGATTTGCTGGAATCTGCCCTCTTAACTGAATCTTGACATTGCTAATGTAAAACAGTTGCTCTGCAAGTTTGCAAAATCAGCTGGCACAGAGTCTGAGCCTTCCCCCTTAGGGAGGCCATTCAGAGGACCAGATCACCAAGAGCTTGGTAGCTGTGGCACCTGAACCATAGGAGAAGCCCACCTGCAAATGAAAGAAAAAGTGAAACACACAAACACACTTTGTATGCCCTAAAAGAAACAAAATCAACTGAGGTCTGAAATTAAAATTAAGAATTTGACATGCTGGTGGAGGAAAAAGGAAGAATTAAAAAAAAAAGTAAAGTTAGTGAATTAAAAAAAAAAAATTTCTAGCCCCAGTCTGTGCCAACACGGACATCTGGCAATCTGTGGAGTTTTAATTACCTCTTTACGCCATAGGCCATATTAAGCAAATTGTCCAGCCTGCAAAGAGAAGGAGGGTCTCTGGGTTAATGCCTCACAGATGGCAAGATCACTCAATGGAACTATTAATAAGAATGCTCCATTTTCAAAGAAGAAAAGCTCAACAACTTTCCCCAGTGCTTAGGAGTCTATCCATTGGTAGTGTCCCCCTTTCCTTTCCTGCCTCCAACTAGAAGTAATTCATGTTCAGGTCAATGCTAGAGTTTAAAAGCAAGAGTCTAATGAATCTCCCTTTCTTTCAAGGTACGAATTAATCCCACTCCTCCCACCTCTCAGAACATTTTTGTGGACTGTATTTTATATTGTGTGTGAAACTGTTAAAAAGGGGCAGCTTCTTAAGCTGTTCATCTTTTATTACAATTAATCTTGTGAATAAAGTTCTCTTTCAGATTAACAATACGTATGCACACACATGCATATCAGAATGAATCTTTTCTCTTAGCCTAACTACATGAACTAAATCTTACCATACACATGTTTTTGGGGGTGGGGAGAGTTGCACGGTTAAGATTTTTAAAAATTAGCTTACTATTTACAACCTAAAAGCAAACTACCGTTATGCTGTAATCTCCTTCATCTTCTGTACCTTGCTTGAGGACAAGCTATTCACACCATGGGGCAGTAGTAACCATAGTTTCTACCATTAGAAGCCTGCTGGAAAGGCTTTTTACATAAATAGTGCATGTGCTCTCACACAAAATAAAAATTAGATGACTTGGACTCTTCATAAAATCATTAACTATTTCAAATTCTTGGGGCATGGGAGGACAGACACAATAAAGGCTGATTTTTCTCCTCATTGTGGCTAGACGGAAGGGCCTACTATCTTCCCATGTGATGTTTGAAAAGGAGAAAAATCCTTTCATTAAAGGGAGGCTGGGACATAGGTGGAATAAAAAAATTATTTACAATTATTAGGAGTAGGTCAAGAAAATTCTTATCTCTTGCAAAACAGAGGCCAGATGAGGTCAGACTGGCTTCATGGACAGAAACCTGCCTTTCAGAGCTGTTTCAGGAGAAGGGAAATGCCCCATTGTGCCAGGGGCTTCCTGGGGGCTGAGTACCTGAAGGAAACACTGACAAAGCTTGGACAAATCCTCCTTGTCTTCCCAGAGTCTGCTGACCAAACACACAGAGGAGTGCCTGTCCCTTCCCCAGCCCAGTAGAGTTACCTGCAGGAGAAAGGGCAGAACAGGCCAGACCCCTCCATCTGCCTCCTGGCCTGCTCTTTTCTTTAACTTTATTAAAAGCCACTGCCTTAGCCTAAAGCCCAAGCTGCTCAATGTGGTCACTTATCTGCGATTAGCTCTTGTTGAAACTGAACCTTCTTGTTTGGTTAAATGTAGAAATTTTGTTTCAGCAAAAGAATCTGTTGAGCCAGTCACAGTGGTAAGTTGAAGGGGACTTGGAAGAGCATCTGGTCCAATTATGTCATTTTACAGCAGTGGAAACTGAGTCTCAGGGGGTTACTTTGCACAGTATTTTCTGGGGAGGAGGTTCTTCCCCTTACCCCAACCTTCAGGGCCGTGGGCCTCCCTGGCCCTCGCTGGTGCTGTACTCATGTAGCAGGATTCCTTCCCCTGAGGGCTTGCCTACCTGAACCTCTGAGCCTGGTGGTGAAGTGGGCCGGGGTAGCGCCGATTGGGGGACTGGTAGAGCTGGGAGAGCAGGGCCTGGCTGGACTTCTGGCTGGGGTTATTGGCAAACTTCACAGTAATCGGTTCCGTAGCACCACTGGGCTTCTGGCCATTCAGTCCTTTAATGGCTTCTTCTGCTTCGATCCTCTTATCGAATCGGATGAATCCCACCCCTCTGGACACTCCTGGGGAAAGACAAAGAGCCTTCATAAAGAGTGAGCAAACCACACTGGTAAAGGTCTCTGGGAAGAGTGCACAGTCAGGCCACCTTTGGGGCCTATAGAATCCATCTATTCTGTAGGATATGTCCTATCCACCTAGAACGCTCGATCCCTTCTTCTTGCCAGATAACTGCAAGTCATCCTCCAAAACCCTGTCCAAATGTCACCTGCTCAAGGGTGCCTTCCAAACCAGGCATAGCATGCCTTCTCCAGGGCTAAGCCTGGCTTCCTGAGTCTTTCTCACCCTTCACAACATATCTGCCTGTCTTTCTGCCATCGTGGCTCTGGACAGGTAACTCCCAGTCACAAAGCACAGGCATCTCTCACATTGTCCCTTCCAGCTCTCACCACTGTCTTACTCAGTCCTCATCTCCCTTTAGTTGCTGCAATTGGTCACCCACTGTCTAGTTTCTAGTCCTCCAATGTGTCTTCCATACCTAGTAAGTAAGTAATCTATTTGAAAAGCAAAATCTGACCACATATTACTCTTTGACCATTATACTACATAAAACATCTTTTATAACTCTTTTGTACTTTTTCCATTTTTTACCTTGTGCATGGTACCTTTTCCTCACTGCTCCCTACTCTAAACACAGAATAACAAACCAAGAAAACCCATAAAAACCTTTTTTATAGCTCCATGTTGCATACAGATGAAGTCAGACTTCTTTGAATGGCACTTAATGCCCCTGATGACCTGGCCCCAAATCCCTGTTGAGCCTCATGCTAGCCATGCTGAACTACTGGATATTCCTTGAATAGGCTGTGTTCTTCCTTGATTCCGTGCCTTAGGATATGTCCTATCTACCTAGAATGCTCGATCCTTCCTTCTTGCCAGATAACTGCAAGTCATCCTCCAAAACTCTGTCCAAACATCACCTGCTTGATGGTGCCTTCCAAACCGGGCATAGCATGCCTTCTCCGGAGTTCTGACAGGGCATTGGACAGCCCCTAGCAGGTATTCAGCCCACTGGAGTTCTGAGAGGGTGGGATTGTGCTTCCTTCCTCCCTTGTCTCCTGCATCCCTCTGCAGTGTCTGAGGCGGAGCTGGCTTCAGTGAGGGTATGTTGCATGAATCAAATCATAAACACATGCTAAACTGCTCTCAGGGGGTGTTTTAAATTGGGATCAAATTTGCAGTAGGTGAAAACATTTTGTCATTAAAAAAGCAACCTGGGGCGCCTTACATTTCTTACCGAGAGATGGTGGTTGCCCTTCTTTATTATGGACAAAGTACCGCAGCCCCAGATCTTGGGGTTCGTGTCCCTACATGGCCACTAACTAGCCAGACAGAAGTCAGATGCCCCACTTTGGATCTCTGTTCTCTCATGTGTGAAATGAGGCAGTTGGAGTTTCCCTCTAACTCTCCAACGCTATCACTGGAGCAAGATCTATACATACAGGTCTTTTTCAAGTACAAAAGTAATGTTACTAGGTTGAGGGTTGAAAGAGACTTTGAAGGTCACTCAGACCCAGCTCACCCTGATGCCTGAATCCTCTTAACAACCCTGCCAAGTAGTTTAGCTGCTGCGGGAACAATTCCCATGATGGAGGTCTCCCACCTCCCAGGATTGGCCCATTTTAAATTTGTACAGTGGATGGGTAAGAAGGCTTTCTCTTAAGTCAAAAACCTATCCACTTATGACCCATTTCCTTTACCCTACGTAACCATTACCCCTCTGCTCCTATGGGTCACAGGGCTCTGGCTGGTGACCCTGAGACACAAGGAAAGAAATGACAAAAAGGCATTTAACCTGTGACTTGGTCAACCAGGATTCGTGAGGTGATGATACGGCCATATTGCGAGAAAAGCTGCTCCAGTTCCTTCTGGGTCATCGTTTTGGGAAGCCCGCTCACATAGAGGTTAGCATCCCGGATGGAGGCAGAGCTTGGACGGGCGTATGAGACCTAGGCAGAGGCAAGAGGAGCTGAATCCACTGCTGGCAGCAAACTCCCAGTAGAGCCTGAGTCAGTGACTGAGGTGGCCGCCCCTCGTCTATCATTCCAACTCATGGTGTCAGTTTAAATAACTCAGTAGTTCAGATTTGCAGCTACTCTTGTAATAGTACTGAGAACCAGGAGAACAGCAATAGAGGAACAAAAGGAGGGTTGAAGATAACTTAAAACAAATGCACAGATAAGGGTCTCTAAGTGCAGAACAAAAGAGCTACTGTACGGCAGCTGTTAAATGCAGAACTACCCACGCATGGAGTTCTGAAGATTTACCTCCTGGATGTGGGTGTATAGATGATTTACTGTATCCAACACATAATAATCTTTGAATAAACCAAAAAAAAAAAGAACCTATGAAATTCTGCTCTGCAGATTTCTCTCCTCGCCACCCTCCCTACCCCCACCCACTTCTTCTTGAACACATAAAAGCAATCAGGTTCTCTGCAAGATTTTTTTATGTCCTATCCTTTGTGTTGTTCCAGTCTGCTCCCATGAGGTCTGCTCTTGCTGAATGACAAAGTGCTGATGAAATGGGGTTGAATGAACATCTGCTTGTGAAACTGGATATGTGACCTTCTCGTAACATCTGCAAGAACCAGTTGCCTTCTAACTTTAAGGCAGAGCAGATAAAGCCACAATAAACAAAATGAGGGCATGGTGGAAAGAGGGAGGGAGAGGGCAGTGGGAGAGAGAGGCAAGCTTCATCAATGGTTATAGTAAGTTCGACTTTATAAATTTGTCCTCCCAGATCTCTCAACCACTTTTTTTCCCCAAAAAGCTAACACAGCAGTGTAAACAGATCTGAAATTCCATCTGTAAGAAGCCAAATCTGTAGCCGTACACATAAGCAAAGCAAACCCCAGCAGTCATTAATTTTAGACTTTCATTTACTTATTTATTTATTTTTTAAGAAAACAACATCAGACATTTGAAATATAATTTACAGCTAGTCTAACAAAAGCACTTGCCTGCTAAAGCTATTTCTGGGGCAGTTATGGCTCAGAATAGATGATGAAAACAGTTATTTCAGAGTACATCTGACAATGCTGGACAGGAAGGGACCTATATGCCTTAGCATTTTTCTGTTGGGAGTTTTATTTAATCTATATGACCAATTCATAAGGCCTGCTAAGACTAAAGGGGTGAGTGACTGTGTGTGTGTGTGTGTGTGTGTGTGTGTGTGTGTATGTGTGTGTATATGCACTGTGCACACACAAAAGCATGTATGCAAAAGGAATTGTACATGGAAACTGAACCTTTGGCATTAAGAACCACACCTTCAGCAGCAAAGTGGACCTTGCATCTGAGCATGGGTCTTGCAGTGGATCTAGCAAGGAGGAATGATGGATTGAAGGATGAGCAGACCCCCTCACCCATGCCATTCTCTCTCTTTCTGGGATAGAGATGCTGTCCCTGTATGGGTTCCACACCTAAAAATAGATGTTGACTCAACAGATAAAATGATGAGTGACTAATCTCTGTTACTGGCCTCCTCCTGAAGGTGGAGCAAGGCGACGCATCTGCAGTGTCTATATTTTCTAGAAACTCATGGGTAGCCTCTGTAGGCTCCTTCCCAGCACACAGCTGACAGGCTGAGGGGGCTTACATGGAGCTCCTTGTGCATACATTTGGGGGCTGGGGGCTGGAGGATCAAATATCCCATGTGACTGCCTGGACCAGGCATCACTTGACACAAGGCTCTCCTACCCCGCCCTTTAATGGACAGTCTTTAAGGTTATAACCTAGCAGAACTATTCTGAGAGGGTGGGATTGTGCTTCCTTCCTCCCTTGTCTCCTGCATCCCTCTGCAGTGTCTGAGGCGGAGCTGGCTTCAGTGAGGGTATGTTGCATGAATCAAATCATAAACACATGCTAAACTGCTCTCAGGGGGTGTTTTAAATTGGGATCAAATTTGCAGTAGGTGAAAACATTTTGTCATTAAAAAAGCAACCTGGGGTGCCTTACATTTCTTACCGAGAGATGGTGGTTGCCCTTCTTTATTATGGACAAAGTACCGCAGCCCCAGATCTTGGGGTTCATGTCCCTACATGGCCACTAACTAGCCAGACAGAAGTCAGATGCCCCACTTTGGATCTCTGTTCTCTCATGTGTGAAATGAGGCAGTTGGAGTTTCCCTCTAACTCTCCAACGCTATCACTGGAGCAAGATCTATACATACAGGTCTTTTTCAAGTACAAAAGTAATGTTACTAGGTTGAGGGTTGAAAGAGACTTTGAAGGTCACTCAGACCCAGCTCACCCTGATGCCTGAATCCTCTTAACAACCCTGCCAAGTAGTTTAGCTGCTGCGGGAACAATTCCCATGATGGAGGTCTCCCACCTCCCAGGATTGGCCCATTTTAAATTTGTACAGTGGATGGGTAAGAAGGCTTTCTCTTAAGTCAAAAACCTATCCACTTATGACCCATTTCCTTTACCCTACGTAACCATTACCCCTCTGCTCCTATGGGTCACAGGGCTCTGGCTGGTGACCCTGAGACACAAGGAAAGAAATGACAAAAAGGCATTTAACCTGTGACTTGGTCAACCAGGATTCGTGAGGTGATGATACGGCCATATTGCGAGAAAAGCTGCTCCAGTTCCTTCTGGGTCATCGTTTTGGGAAGCCCGCTCACATAGAGGTTAGCATCCCGGATGGAGGCAGAGCTTGGACGGGCGTATGAGACCTAGGCAGAGGCAAGAGGAGCTGAATCCACTGCTGGCAGCAAACTCCCAGTAGAGCCTGAGTCAGTGACTGAGGTGGCCGCCCCTCGTCTATCATTCCAACTCATGGTGTCAGTTTAAATAACTCAGTAGTTCAGATTTGCAGCTACTCTTGTAATAGTACTGAGAACCAGGAGAACAGCAATAGAGGAACAAAAGGAGGGTTGAAGATAACTTAAAACAAATGCACAGATAAGGGTCTCTAAGTGCAGAACAAAAGAGCTACTGTACGGCAGCTGTTAAATGCAGAACTACCCACGCATGGAGTTCTGAAGATTTACCTCCTGGATGTGGGTGTATAGATGATTTACTGTATCCAACACATAATAATCTTTGAATAAACCAAAAAAAAAAAAAGAACCTATGAAATTCTGCTCTGCAGATTTCTCTCCTCGCCACCCTCCCTACCCCCACCCACTTCTTCTTGAACACATAAAAGCAATCAGGTTCTCTGCAAGATTTTTTTATGTCCTATCCTTTGTGTTGTTCCAGTCTGCTCCCATGAGGTCTGCTCTTGCTGAATGACAAAGTGCTGATGAAATGGGGTTGAATGAACATCTGCTTGTGAAACTGGATATGTGACCTTGTCGTAACATCTGCAAGAACCAGTTGCCTTCTAACTTTAAGGCAGAGCAGATAAAGCCACAATAAACAAAATGAGGGCATGGTGGAAAGAGGGAGGGAGAGGGCAGTGGGAGAGAGAGGCAAGCTTCATCAATGGTTATAGTAAGTTCGACTTTATAAATTTGTCCTCCCAGATCTCTCAACCACTTTTTTTCCCCAAAAAGCTAACACAGCAGTGTAAACAGATCTGAAATTCCATCTGTAAGAAGCCAAATCTGTAGCCGTACACATAAGCAAAGCAAACCCCAGCAGTCATTAATTTTAGACTTTCATTTACTTATTTATTTATTTTTTAAGAAAACAACATCAGACATTTGAAATATAATTTACAGCTAGTCTAACAAAAGCACTTGCCTGCTAAAGCTATTTCTGGGGCAGTTATGGCTCAGAATAGATGATGAAAACAGTTATTTCAGAGTACATCTGACAATGCTGGACAGGAAGGGACCTATATGCCTTAGCACTTTTCTGTTGGGAGTTTTATTTAATCTATATGACCAATTCATAAGGCCTGCTAAGACTAAAGGGGTGAGTGACTGTGTGTGTGTGTGTGTGTGTGTGTGTGTGTGTGTATGTGTGTGTATATGCACTGTGCACACACAAAAGCATGTATGCAAAAGGAATTGTACATGGAAACTGAACCTTTGGCATTAAGAACCACACCTTCAGCAGCAAAGTGGACCTTGCATCTGAGCATGGGTCTTGCAGTGGATCTAGCAAGGAGGAATGATGGATTGAAGGATGAGCAGACCCCCTCACCCATGCCATTCTCTCTCTTTCTGGGATAGAGATGCTGTCCCTGTATGGGTTCCACACCTAAAAATAGATGTTGACTCAACAGATAAAATGATGAGTGACTAATCTCTGTTACTGGCCTCCTCCTGAAGGTGGAGCAAGGCGACGCATCTGCAGTGTCTATATTTTCTAGAAACTCATGGGTAGCCTCTGTAGGCTCCTTCCCAGCACACAGCTGACAGGCAGAGGGGGCTTACATGGAGCTCCTTGTGCATACATTTGGGGGCTGGGGGCTGGAGGATCAAATATCCCATGTGACTGCCTGGACCAGGCATCACTTGACACAAGGCTCTCCTACCCCGCCCTTTAATGGACAGTCTTTAAGGTTATAACCTAGCAGAACTATCTTTTAGGCATGAGAAGAGAGCAATAGGGGGAAGGAAATAAAAACATCATAGTGATATATCCAGGCTGAGGGCCACCCTTGTCTCACCCCCGCCCATTACTGACAAATTAATCATCTGAATGACCTTGCTGCTCTTCCCAAACATACACTCTTATCTCTATGCCTTTGCTTATGGGGAAATTTTTTCTATTTATGTCTTCAGGTCCTAACCCTCCTCCTCTTTGAGGCCCAGATCAAATGCTACTTTCTCCAGACAGCTTTCCCTATCTTAGCTTTCCCTAAAAATCCCCCCTTGCAGTGCTTTCAGTGAACCACACCCGTGGTACTTAACCCATTCTGACCTTGATTCACCATCTCTTTACTTAGTTTGCTGATCTCCTTGAGGTCATGGGTTTTGTGTGCATGTCTTACTCATCTCTGTGGCTCTAGCTCCCTGCATAAAGCCTGATACCAGCAGGCTACTGAAGGAATGAATCAACACCCACATTTCATAATGAATCATGTGGGCATTAATGGCTCTTTGGGGTTAATTGTAATTTGGATTTCTCCACTTAGGGGATTATCAAGAGCTATGCATCCAGAATCACAGCTGTGTTTCCCTACTAAGCTAGGAGCTAAGGGACAGGCTTCCCATTCTCCAGTGTCTGGGTTTGGAAGGACTGAAAAAAGATTGTAGGAGGACTAGATGTCACCTGGAAGCTTCTCTTAGAGGACATTTTCTGAGGATCTACTATGAGCCAGGCACAGTACTATATGCTGGGGATATATAACAAGAAGAAGAAGGCATGGTCTCTTGCCTTAAAGAATTTCCAAGTCCAATGGGGGCAACAGGCAACACACAGGAGGTGCTCAATAAATATGAGTTGAATGTTAGAATGGTATACATATGGACCAACTATCATAACGCCACAGGATGTGTGTTTTCCCAGAGATGTATAGATGAGGCTGGAACACAGAGAATGGGAGACTAATCTCTCTTTAAATTAAGGGTTAAAAGGGCCAGGAAGGAGATATAGCTGAGGTGAGACTGGTGGTGAGACAGGTGGTATGAAGTGTGTGGTGGGGTGAGGGAAGGGCAGCCCGATGATAGCCCTCCCCTGTTGTACAGACAAATGACATGATGAAGGTCAAGAACTTAGTACAGTACGTGACTGGCACCCAATAAGTGCACAATGGGTAGCAGTTAGTTTTGGGAAGCCAGGGTACAGAGGGGAGCAGGCTGGGGACAGACCTGCTAGGGAAAAGGAGCTGGCACTGGAAAGTCCATGACAGAACCAAAACCATTTCCCCAAAAGATAATTCGGACAGAGGCAGGATCTTAGCCGGGGGGAGTTATGCAACTGCCCCCAGCCACAGAGCAGTGGAGGGTCCCAAAGGGCAACAGCACAGCCATCATTCATCGAGCATAATTCATGCTTAGTTTTCTCCTCTGTTTGAAACCTTAAATCTACTGTTCTCCTTGTCTGCCTGTCTGGGAAACCTGCAAAAGTGGGAGTGGGCAAAAATGACAGAAAATATCTCACATTCAATATCCAAATGTTCATCCCAGTATCTAAACTTTTCAGGTTTCCTCATACATTTATTAAACCCTATCTGAGTGACTTTAGGTATCAGACCCTTTGTTAAGCTGAAACATTTATAAAAAAATACACTGACTTTTAGCCCTTGCAGAGAGTCAGCATTGCTGTCCTGTGAACGCCACTGAGCCAGTGGCCTAGAGCCCAGGGCTTCCACCACTGGACGCAGTGCCTTAGAGGACCTCATGCCACAGACCGTCAGGATCCTGCTGGCTTCATTCACCCAGAATCTCTGTAGACAAGACTGGCATTTCTAGGTCAGCACTGATCTTTCTCTGGAGCTCAGAAACAGCTGGGAGTGAGGAGGCCCCTCCTGTCTGTCTGGGAGAGGGTGGCCCACAGGCAGATGACTTTACAGATGATCTTGACAGAAGATTTACAGTCTTTCCAAACTCTCCTTCCCTCCCCCTCCCTGCAGGCTCACAGTACCCCTGCCATCTGCAAGAGTGACAGTACAGCATGGAGCTCATGAGCCCTAACTGCAGGCTGGCTCCAGCACTCACTAGCTTGTGTGACCTTGGGCAAGTAATTTGATCTTGATAAATCTGTTTCTTTACTGGTAAAAAGGAGGACAATTCTGCTTTAATGGGTTATTGTAAGGAACTGAGGTAATAGATTTAAAGTGTCTAGCATGAATTTAGTAGATACTTAATATATATATTATTATGTGATGAGTCATACAGACTTCTGTGGACCAGCCTGGGACTCTCATCTCTGTTGGGACACACCTTTCAATTTTACCACACAAGCCAACTCTGAAACATGACCAATGAATGCCTATAGAGGCACTACCCTCCTGCATTAGTCTTGTGGGTCTGCATCATCCTTTGTCACTTCAGTGCCACAAATTTTCTCTAGCACATTCCTACAGATTCTATTGCTTCTCATCCACAAAGTACTTTCCATTTTCCAAAGTGACTTCACAAGGCTCCTCTCAGTGATTCTCACCAAGGTGGTAAGGCAGGCACTGTCATTCATCACAGATAGGGCAGCAGGACCAGGGCTCAGGGCTACCCCTTCCTACCCAGGTCCTTTCACCTGTTCACACCCAGGGCTGGCCTGGGTGGGGTGGGAGGAGCAGCGTGGCCTGGGGAAAACATATCTGAATCATCTGGTAACACCTTGTCCCTGTATGACCCATCAGGGCACAGAAAGGAGAGAGAAGCCGGCAGATGAGGAAGGTGTGGTCTGGGATGCTGTGAAGATGCTGAGAAGAGAGGAAAAGGCAGGCTTCTCTGGCTTGGAAATATGCTCCTTTAGGAAAACACTGGCCTTACAAGATGAGCATTCATTCATTCTTCCCCTTCAGGACCACTTCCTGTGTGCCAGGCCTGGTGTTGGTGCTGGAAGTGTCTCTTTGTCAAGTGCCCCACAGTACAGTGAAGGAAGTAAGATAACAAATGAAGAGTGCAGTACAGAGGGCTGTTTGGACAGTGGGATGCTCATTTTCCATGCCCAGTGAGCTCCCTGGAGTAATAGTCTAGGCCTTTGTACCCCCTCACCCCTTCTCTCCAGGGACAGTGGAGTAACTGCTCTGAATAGACTTCATTAAGGGAAATGGATCTGTGGGCCTCAGATGCCTGCTTCATCCCCTCTGGGAATCGGATAATAGCCCGAAGCA